AAGTTCTTTTTAACCTGAATTGTTCCCCCTTCGAGGTGCTGTTGGAACCCAAACACCACAGGACGCCCAAGGCGCCGTGTGAACAAGCATGGCATGGGCATGGGGATTTCATGTGAATACGGGAAGAACCCGTTCGACGCTAGACGAGCATCTCTGATTTTCTGCAAGAACTCGTGATTCAGCGCGGTTTTCGATAGTTCACCTTTCGTGTTAGACAAACATATTTACGATTTTGTGATAAACTAGTAAGTTTGATCAAAATTTGGACCACACTTTCCATAAATAGCTGATAGTGGTTAAATATAAATAGTCAACTTGTTTCCACCAAAGGTTACAATGGAAGCTATAAAATGTTGAAAAATGATGGTGCATTGGAATGATTCTATTTCAGAGTGTGTAATATATCAAGGCTGGTTTTGGATTCACTCAGATCGTTTCCAGATACGCCATGCATTCCGATTTTCCTTGAATTCATCGTGCCCTTTCCATGTAGATGGTGTTTAGGCATTGATGTTTAATCGTTCTTAAAGGAACGAACGGCAATCCTGTTTGGCTGTGATCCTGTTCGAAGACTCTTTTGAGCCAAGAAGGACCTTCCTTATTCTTGGCATGCGGGTTTGATGTGCGGGGTTTTGTTGTGGCCTGTCCAAGATTATAGTACTTTTTATTGGGCATACTTTTCGGCCTCCTCACCCTCGTTAGAGTCTATAAAATCGGAAACCAATTGAGATCCACCAGATCCTCATGGGTCAAACTCCTGGGAGCCGTCTGTCACGGCCTTCACGAGCCTAACAATCCTGTAAGCAATCTTTTAGGGCCTTTGTGATGATTCGACGGCAATAAGCATTAGGCCATCCGCCGTCAATGCAAATATAACAAAATGAAACATATCTCTGCCTCAATATACATAGTACAAAAGCCCCAGCAAAATTTCTTCGTTGGACCGAGGTCGATGAATCTTATCTTCTTCGGTTTCTTCACGAAAACTCTTCAGGAAATGCTCTGCGCTCGCTGGTATCTGAAAAAAGGACCTCGTAGCGTTGATCGATTCCTTTATGATGCACCATGTATACAGCTTCTCTCAAGTCTCAGTGAGCGTTGAAAGCAGTTATCAATTAGCAGTAGTTAATGCCGTCAACCCCACGCAATAACCTTTTAAGCCATAAGAATGTATTAACTCATTAAAAACGCGTCTCCCACGAACGAGAAGTTTCTTTCTTCGAATCATTCCATCTTTTCGAAACCATTCCTGTATGAGCTTATTA